ATTCTTGTGTGTGTGTGTATGTGTGTGTATGTGCATGCATGTGTAGTTTATTTTTTATTTTTTTAAATAAGCTATTTTCTGTTATACAATTTACACTACCAGCCACAGGTAGTCATGACTCACTGGCAGTACATTCCTCACTTGTTTATTGATGAAAATAATACAAAAGCCTCTTCCTAAAAGCCAAATGAGTCTAATCACTGTTTAAGATGTTTGTACACTCATGATGAGTCTTTTCCATCAGCCTGCCCTTCAGCTTAAATGCTCATGACGTGATGATCACGTCATCCGGACAAAATTTACTATCTCGGATATGATTGCAGAAGGTTCTTTTTTATTTTTTATTATTTTTTTAATTTATTCATTTTTTTAATTATTATTATACAATTTTTGGTTAGTTTATAAAAAAAGAAAGTTACAATAAATATATCAATTTATCTTACTAGTATTGTTTTGCCACATTATTACCCATCATTTTATATAGAATGTTTGCATTATATGATAGATTATAAATTTTATTTTTTTCCAGTATGTGAATGTGGAGAAGACTAAACGTGATGTTTTGACAGCACTCCAACATTACCGTGGGCTAGGACCAAAGTTAGATAAATTTGGTAAGTAATTTGGTACTTTATGTTTTATATATAAATATGTACAGTTAAATATAGAAGTGTTTTCCATAATGCAAATTAAATATAATGTAAACAAGCACATTGTCCATTTTTGTTTTTTTTTTGTTTTTTTGCGTATGTATTTGAGTAAAGACAGTAAAGAAAAGATTTATTTTTGATTTTAGTATGAAAAGAATTTGGCACATATAGTATAAATGATATCAGTGGATATGAAAATAGGTAAGATTTTTTCCAGCTTTGTAGGACCGCAGATGAAATAAAGAGGTAATGTTATTCTTTCCCATGATTTCTTTACTAAAAAAAAAAAAAGAAAAAAAAAAAAGTTACTGTTGATAATTTTAAAAATATTTGGAATGACTTCTTATTTTGATGCCTCTGTATCTATGCTGCAATGCAGACTTATATTTTTAACTTAAGGTTTACTATGAAATACTGTAAAATGTGATTTATGTCATTTTGAAATCCCGTATTTGCTTATAGGATTAGATTTTCAGAAAAGACCCTAGCTGATGCATATTACAACTGTTTTACATTTCACTATTTGTTTAAAGTTTTTCCCCTGATTTGATGAAGTTTAAAAGTCTCGTCATTTTTATTTGATTTCTGTTAGAAATTACTGAAGTTACTGAAGAAAGTAAAAAATAATAAACATGATCTACTTATGAATTTATGATTTTGCATAAATTTGAATCTTCATTAGTTTTTGGTTGTTTGCTTGAATTATTCTTTTAAATGTTAACTAACTATCATTACCTTATATGGTTTTAGTACTCTTATTATGATTCCTTTTAGTGATTTAATTCATTAAGTTCATTCAGAGAATTGGTGGAAAATAGATGTTATCCATTTTTACCTCTATTTTTTAGTTTTTAATGATGGCAGCGACCAAGAGTTGTTGAACCTAGATGGGACGATTCCTGTCCGATACAAAGGTGAGACGGTGCATTAGCCATGGCATTCACTGTCCCATTGGCTTGAGGTTTGGCAGTGGACTACCTGTTGGATGCAAAAACAAATGTTGATTTACCTTGTTGTTGTTTTCCCGAACTTTTTGTCCCTGTTTTTGTTATTTGTATTTTTTTCCTTTTATTATTTTTTATACAAATATATATACACATTCTGATCACTAGGACATCTCCAAACCTCTCAAAGCCACATGATGGATGTCATTGTGTAAGTGGTTCTCTAAACATCATTTAAAGGAAGCACATGATTATTGCAGTCAAAGTTGTTAGTACTAGATGTTGCACCGTGTCTATGTGTGGTTCCTTCAAATGATGATTTTTTTTTTATAGTAAAAGTTCTGGATGTTTTGCTTAAAGATATTTTAATGAGTAGTATTTGATAAAAGATAAACCAAATACTAAAAGAATATCTCAAAAGCATCCAGCACTTTCTGTATTTGGCAGAGTTCTGTTTGGAGAAAGAATGCTAAAGTTCTTGTCATTTGCAGTTCCATGTGGTTCATAAACAGAATATGCCACTTGCAATGACAGGAGTGTTAGTATTCAATTCCCAATGAACAAAGCATTGTGTGTCCTGTCAATGCTGACTCAACCCTCACTGTATTTTTTCTTTTTCTTTGCAAGTATTCCGCAGTGGCACTTCACGCTACTTACTGTGTCTTGAAGGCACGATACCTGTTACATATAAAGGTATGGTGTGGGGTGTGGCTACTTACTTAACATGAGGCAAGCAATGTATACATTTCCAGTTTTGAACATACATGTTTTCGGAGAAGCAAAATAGGTTCTTGTGACTACCAGCTAGCTATACTTGAAACATCATTTTATGTGAGAGCTGAGAGCAGTCAAAATGCTGTTAGTGGTCTGTGCACCAGCTGTGGGTGTTTCAGTATCAATACGATG